TTTTCTTAGTTTAAAATTGAAAGCATAATTAGCATCATGGGTAGATTTAAAAAAACACTTTTAAAAGATGCATTATTCCTATATAACAATTGATATTTTAGTTTAACAACTCATCGGAGCAAGATACTGGCCCTGCCGAGGCAACCGCAGGTGGGACTCAAAATTCAATAAATCTAGGAGCTTTTTTCATAGCAACATAAATTTATATTAACTGAATTATATTAAGTGAATGATGTTGTAAATATCCAAATGGCCCTTGGCTGAAAAAAGTTTCCCCATCCCTGGAAGATATGAGCTAGAGAGATATGTTAAGAGAGAGTTAAAGTGTGGAGGAGAATAACAGAGAGAGATGACCTCTAGTTGGAAGGGGTCGGGAAAGGTTTCATTGGCATTTTTGCTGGACCTTGAATGATATGTGATGTGATACTGAGTGGCGGTGCAGGAGATAAGGACCGGCAGGAGTGAAGGATTGAGGCAAGGAAGCTCAGGTTCTGCACGCAAAGAAGAGTGAATAATTGAGTCTGATCAGATTAAGAGTTATGGTAAAAAGAGATAAAAAGAAAACATAGAACAAAATGGTTGAGGACCTTAAATGTTGGAGTAAAGATTTTATTCTTTATTTCCTATGTAATGGCCAGACAGAGATTTTTGAGTGGGAAGGGAAAACATCAAACATCAAATTATGCTTTACAAATCTTCCAGAAATATTAGGATAAGCCAGGAAGAGGGTCACCTGGTAGGAGGCAGGAAGTATCAAGGGTGTGACCCCTGCTGCTGGGAGAAATGGAGAGGAAGAGAAGGATCTGGGAAATATATTATTGCAGCCTTTCACCCTTTGAAAGACATTGCGTTGTCAAGAAATGTGGATTCTGGTCCTGGACAGTGTGTGTGTGTGTGTGTGTGTGTGTGTGTGTGTGTAAGGGAGAAGGATTGAATCGGTAACCTCCAAGGCACTATCCAGTCCTACAAGTCTTACTGTTTTTCTTAATTCTTCTCAATTGGATCTTCTGTGCCATAAATTTTTCTGATTGATGCTTAACCAGTCATTTGGCTGGCTACTTAAATATCCTGATTTTTTATTTTATTTTATGGTGGTAAGCATATTTAACATGAAATATACCCTTTTTTAATATATTTTTATTGATTTCTACAGAGAGGAAGGGGGAGGGATAGAGAGTTAGAAATATTGATGAGAGAGAACCATCAATCAGCTGCCTCTTGCACACCCCCTACTGGGGATGTGCCCGCAACCAAGGTACATGCCCTTAACCGGAATCGAACCTGGGACCTTTACAGTCTGCAGGCCGCCGCTCTATCCACTGAGCCAAACCGATCAGGGCTGAAATATACCCTTTTAACAACTATTTAAGTGGTATTGTTGACCGTAGGTGCAATGTTGAACGGCAGATCTCTGGGACTTACTCATCTTGCTTAACAGAAACTTTATGCCCATTGATTAGAAGGAGGAAATAAGTAATTATTAATTAATGGGCAAATATCTTTATTTTAAAGTTGCAATGAGTAATTGACAGTTATCTTGGGAAGGATGAACTGCAGGCTGCTGAATTTTCATAGTTCAGGCTATTGAATGTAAATTGGTGGTTCTCTCTCTGCGGAAAGTTGTTGTGGCTGCGGCCTGTGATGGAAGATGCCTCTCCAGCTTACCTGGCCAGCTATTTGGTCCTGGTGTCCATTCACCATGACAGTGGTCTGTTTAGGAAAACACATTAGTCAAATCTAGCTTTTAAAAAACTAATAAAGTAAAAACAGATGGTGACTCATATGATAAAGTACTTTTAATTTTATACATATGTCTCCAATTATCAAAGAATCTTACTCCGGTTGACGTGTTCTTGGTTTATACATCAAGGGACAGTGGTGCCCTAACCGGTTTGGCTCAGTGGATAGAGCGTCGGCCTGCAGACTGAAGGGTCCCAGGTTTGATTCCAGTCAAGGGCATGTACCTTGGTTGCGGGCACATCCCCAGTAGGGGGTGTGCAGGAGGCACCTGATCGATGTTTCTCTCTCATCAATGTTTCTAATTCTCTATCCCTCTCCCTTCCTCACTGTAAAAATCAATAAAATATGTTTAAAAAAAAAAAGAGAGAGAGACAGTGATGATGAAGAATCTGGCTTGAATCTAGGCTCCACTACTTATTAGCTATATGTCCCTTTTTTGTTACAAATTATTGAAATAGACCCCATAACTAGTTTGATCTCTTTGAAGTCATGGCTAACTTTAATAATTTGTTCTACAAACCACCTTGATTTGATATTAAAAACTCTGTAGGGTGGGGCTGCCTCTTTTTGACTTCATATTTTAACCCAGGTACCTAGTGCATGCCTGGCTTGGAGTGGGTGCTCAACAAACATCTGTGAAATAAATAAGTGGATGGATGGACGGATGGATGGATGGATAGATGGTTTATTATCTGAAGCTGTGAGTCTAGTCCATTTATTTTCTTTTCAGATGGTTCTTCCCCTGAATATAGAACCATTTCACTCACCGCATCAGGTCCAGTCCTGCCCCAGACTCAGGAACCCAAATTGCATCTAATTCTAGGCACTTGGTTCAGCCTTGTGACAATCCCTGCCTTCCTGTGAGTCTTCTGGCAAGTCAGAAAGGCTTGCAAAGTTGATAGTTGAATCTTGGAGAATGATTAGACACTTCTCAAGCCACAAAAGTCTGAGAAAGGCATTCTAAGATATATAGCATTATAAGGTAACTAGAGGCCCCATGCATGAAATTCATGCACTTGGCAGGGGGTGGGGGGGGAGTTGGGGAGGTCCCCCAGCCTGACCTGCACCCTCTCGCAGTCCAGGAGCCCTCAGGGGATATCTGACTGATGGCTTAGGCCCGCTCCCCCCAGACCTAAGCTGTCAGTCGGACATCCTTAGTGCTGCCACAGAGGTGGGAGAGACTCCCACCACCACCGCTGCACTTGCCAGCTGTGAGCCTGGCTCTGGCTTAGTGGCACTCCCCCTGTGGGAGCACACTGACCACCAGGGGACAGCTCCTGTGTTGAGCAGGATCGGGCCAAACTCAGCTCTCCAACATCCCCCAAGGGATCCCAGATTGTGAGAGGGTGCGGGCTAGGCTGAGGGACCCCAGTGGCGCACAGTTGGGGCCTGGGAGGGATGTGGGAGGTCGGCCAGCAGGGGAGGGACTGTGGGAGGGCTCCAGGGCTTGTCTGGCCCATCTCATTCAATCCCGATCAGCCAGACCCCATCAGCAAGCTAACCTACCAGTCGGAGAGTCTGCCCCCTGTGGTCAGTGCACGTCATAGCGAGCGGTTGAACGGCCTTAGCATATCATTAGCATATTATGCTTTGATTGGTTGAACAGACGACCGGACAACCAGGCACTTAGCATATTAGGCTTTTATTATAAAGGATAACATAGAAAGTGCAAAGATGTGAAGGGATGAGAGATTAACCATGTATAGGACTCACAAGTCCTTTAATATTATTAGAAAATAATATTTGTAAAGCTGATATTGTAGTAAGTGCTAGATACTAAAAGACACTGAATGCCAGGACAGTAGTTTAATTTAGTCATTATATAATGGAGTGCCTTTGTAATATTCTGACCAGATGTGACATGACCATAGAGGTACTGTAGGAAGATCTTTCTGGCAGTATTATGAAGGAAGGGTTAGAGAGACTGAGCAAGAAGCAGAGAAACCTGGGAGAAACCAATGCCGCAACTAGGTGAGAAATGGTGAGGGTCTTGCAGGCTAAAAATATGTAATAAAAAATTCTTGCTTGATAACATAAATTTCAGAACTTAAATCTGCAAGTGTTGAAAGGTTCAAAAATGAAGTTTTCCAGTTCTGGCTGGTGTTACTAAGTGGTTAGAGCATCGGACCATGCCCTGAAGGGTTGTGGGTTTGATTCCCAAGGGCATGTGCCTGGGTTGCAAGTTTGCTCCCCATCCCCTGGTCGGAGCACATGCGGGAGGCAACCAATCAATGTTTCTCTCACATGAATGTTTCTCTGTCTCTC